ATAAATAATTATAATTATTATAAATAATTACTATATACTAATATTACAACTATGGATTGCACTGACTTTCTAAAGCCATTATTAATGTCTATCTGTGTCCAACTGTCCAAAAGCCTCCCATTTCACCTCTTATTTGTCTTTGTTATGAGCAAGTAGACATTTCAAAAATTAAACTATGACGAAATTCATGAATTTGAAAACATAGGCCTATTGTAGACAACGAAGCCATATATGTCCTAAAAGCCGTTTGGTGACTTTATAAAGCCATCTCTAAAGGCTAGAACTGTGCCCAATTGTCCTAAAACCTTCTATTTCACCTGTTATATGTCATGCAAGCAAGTAGACACGTTTTTTAACCTATGTTTTTCTCCATTTCATAGATCTGTCACAATATGTATAGTATCGAATTCAGTATTAAACATTGTCTATATAAACTTCAACACTAGTGTTTATATAGTCAATGGTAATAGGCTACCGGCTACCACTGCTACCGCTGATTGATGCCTGTGTAAAGTTAGTGGCTAGCAGACAATTTGACAACTGAACTAACTAAGCATGGAACATCAGGAAATGATCAGCTATTTCCCCGTCCTCGTTCGCACGCTCGGCGCTCGTCTTTGCCCTAAATTCAACAGCTGACTGCTGTAAAAATAGGATGATGCGTACAACCGGTGTACAACTCTCCATAGCGTAATATATTGTTTTATTTGTTGTGCTATTTTCCACAAAGTTTATCTATGTGAAACTTAATACTACTCCTGCCATTGCTTATTAAGTTTAATAAAAACTACATTGATGTCTGTTTTATGACATTGCGTGTTTTAAGGATGAAATGTACCTTTAAATTTATTTTCCAGGGTCTGAGTAGCCCTCCACCTTGGAACCGCCACTGGCTTTCTCCATATACTATGACATAGCGAGAAAGTAATAAATACACTAATGAAAAATACGAAAAATTACAATTATAAAATCTGTCAATCCATTGTGTTTTTTTTCATTGCACAAAATCCACATTTTATATTGTCGGAATTCAAGATTTGCTGGTACAGTACCTAAGTACTGTAACGAATATTGAATAGTGTACAATACTAAAACTTTACTTTATTATTGAACATTAAAGAGACTCTTTTACAGTCGTGGCAGGTAAATAAGATTTAACTGAATTGGGTTTTTAAATCAATTTAAATTTACATATTTTTTATGAAATGGGTAGAATAAATGCACTACGTTAGCGAAACTGAACTTTCGCTTCTATTGTATTCGTTCGTAGTTGTCGGGGGCGTCCGGTCAATGCCGCCGCCGGCCATTTCCATTTCCCTCCCTACGTTGCCGATGTCAGACATCAGCGCGCCTAGCGTCGATTGTGCGAACTATTGCCCTCAAGTGGCAGCTGCGTCACAATAATTGCAATAGCGTTAGTGAAAACTTACTATCGATAGTCACACTATCGATAGTTTTCGATGGTTTTTTAAAAACTATCGATACTATCGATAGTACTATCGATAGTCAATCAAATGGAATTTTAATGCATATAATATTGTATATATCCTGCCTGCATGAGTTTAAATAATGGTTTCTACCTAGTCGAAGATAAAGCTGTATCAGATTATTAATTTTAACAATTTATGAGTGACGCCCTGGAGCCCCCTTTATGTTTTTTTTCCAAAATATTACAACATTTGTATAAAATAACAATAAGTTTTTTTAAGGGTTACAACAATAAAAAAAGAAAAATTCTCTTACTATTTTCTTTTTATTATTCATTACAAAAATATTTTTTTACTCACATAGCATAAATAATATATATATATATATATATATATATATATATATATATATATTTTATGACAATCTAAAACCATAGATCAAAGGAAAATACCGTATACCGGTGTCTCTACTATGCCCCACGAGGCAAATGTAGGCAAATGTATGTACTAAAACCCACGAGGCAAATGTACCCATAAGTCCGGTAGTGAATTAGCAAATGCCCCAGCTTTCAAATGTTTGAGAAGGTAGCCTACTTGTCTACCAAGCTTTTCTACAATGAATTAAAAAAAAAATAGTCTATAATATTAACTATAGGTATGCATTAACAGACAAACAATGAAATGTAAGTGTACCAGATAATGATTTCTTTACTTAATTTAACGTAAAAAAACTATCGATAGTCTCATCGATAGTATAATACTATCGACCCACTATCGATATTTTCAAACTATCGATACTATCGATAGTACTATCGATAGTAAGTTTTCACTAAATAGCGTCCGCCGTCCATTTTGTGACGTTTAGTGATTTATTTATAAAGTGCTGTTATTTTTATGATCACTCCATTACTTCCCGAACTGAAATTTTGTAAGTAAGTTACTTATGTTTGAAAACAAAACAGTAAGCGTCAAATTGAAGTAGGATAACCACAATTCGTCGATATGGAATGCAGTTTTATTGGGAGGGTAGAAAAGGCGGGTCTCTACTTATCTTTGTTTACAAACTCTGGTAATGATCATAAACATTATGTTTATTAAGTAAATTAATGGCCCGTCTGGTTTCGGCTCGATTTATTTTTGACAGATACAAATCAGTGTAACTAGGTTTGGTTTTATGTATGAAGTTTCTTTAGTTGTGTGCGTAAATAATGGCGTTCTACTACTGTTACTGCCTTACTGGGCTAGTGACTTGTTCGAGCGACATCCGAGTTGCGCTGCTTGGAAACGTCTTACAGGCTACCTTTTATTTGCGATCTGTGAAAGACTCGGTTATATAAATAGCATAGAACATCGTTTGAATTACACGCAATGTCTGTGATTACTTTTACAATAAGTTAAGCTTATGATATTTTAGGTTGAGGAAGGTCAGTGTGCTATCGTAAGTAACCTCTTTTACTAGATGAGTCATGAGCTTTATTTGTTAGCTTCGTATGCTATTCAAAGGTGTGTAGGTTTGTGTATTAATTTCCATCCAAATTTAATTTACCCTTACTTAATAATTTTAAGTATTAAGTAGCCTACTAAATTTGTACTAACTTAGGAGTCGGATAAAGTTGACTAAGTTAACTCAGGACTAGGAAGCCCTTATTCCCAACGATGAATTTATTGTATTAACACAGCTGTGAGTTTGTCAATAATGCCTTGATCAGCTGATTCCATGTTTGACATTTTTGATCAGCTGATTCCATGTTCCACATTCTTAAATGTAAACTGTCAAGTATTCAATTATTTTGCTTACTATCACAATACTAACACAATTCCTATCTTTGTAAAGAAGCTAGGCCTAGCAGTGAACTTATTTACTTATTTATCTTACTTTCAATAGAGAGTTTAGTTAACCAAACTTAGGCCATGTTAAAGCTAGGGTATAGGTAGGTAGGCCTAGTTTAAGGTTTGCTACTGGATATTATTGGATGTTGAGTACCTGTGATTTAGGTTAAGTGAAGTAAGTTAGGCCTATATTTTTAAGTTGCCTTAGGCCTAAGTTATGTGATTTTGTAAGATGAGTCCAATACAATGGTAGGCCACTAAGTAGGCCTAGTTAACTTAGGCAAACTTAGAGATTTTAAGTTAGAAATTTTTTGCAAGCATTTTTAAAATTAAGTTACTTATTGTGCACGTTCCCTACCGGCTGTCACACTCCTCTGTAACTGAGGGATGAGTAAAACTTATACCTAGTTGGTGGCTAATATGTTAAAGCATTGTTGGTTCTCTGTGAAACTGTAATCGAAGTGACTAATTTTTTACGCAGGTATGTTTTAGCGAATTTACCAGATTTACCTATAGCGGAAGTAGCTATTACCGTAGGTCTCGTGGGAAGACCTAGGCCCGGAACCGATTTACTTTTTCATTTTGATGTCCCCAGAGGCCAAAAACACCATTCGTTCAAATTTTTATACATGTATAGGCCTAGGCCTATATCTATACATATGTATACATCCAAATGATAACTTGATTAATTTTTGTCCGATTTTGATAAAATTTGGGTTGAAGGAGTAAGGCGGGATAAACTTGAATGAGTTGGGAACCAGCGATCGGACCATGGGAGCAGGGTTTAACGGGGGGTTTTATGGGGTAAAAATGGGCTTTTCTAATTTTCTACCCTTAAAAACAAAATTTAGCCTATCAATTTTTCTCCAGACCTTTTTGAAGAGCTTAAAAAAATAATTTAGTATATCAAGGTGTTTCTGTACGGTGATGGGTTAGCCTACCTAAAAAATTAAAAACAAATTTAATTTAAAATTCCCATGTTATTCTTAAGGAGAATATTGTAAGATGTTGTAGTTGGCTAGTTTATGGATATTTTTGGATCAATCTCGGCGGATTTATTTATTTCATACTAAGCTATTGATATTCTATTAATAAAAAACACACTTTATTAGTTTCCCTGTAGCAGCTACCCTAGGTACTCGTTAAACATAAATGTTAATCTAATAGATTAATTATTGAAAATCAATCCAGGCAAATGATAATTCGCTTAGTCGGCAGGTTTGGTGCAGCAGGGTTATTGTTAAATTACCGGAGCATTACGAGCACTAAGCTTACATTAACAATAGGCTCTTATTTCTTTATCTTGTGAATTACTTGATATTGTGACAAGGTGTTATTTTGTACTTACCAAAGGCAGGGATGATGTGGATGTATCATCATTGTATGTGTACAAACTCACTTGGCCTTCCCCAAAACAGGGTTTTAATGTTTTTGAAGAATTTACATTGATACTGAAAGTTAGGCTACCAAACAAATATTTATGAAGCCATAACCTAACTGCCGCAGCATGCTGTTTAATAGGTGGCAACGTTTACAACGCAATCCTGGCTGACATTATTGTCAGGGATGCGCAAACAACTAACTAGCTTGTTATAAGCTAATACTAAGAGAAGCAATTTCCACCGTATCTATCTCCGATAGTTAAAATAACCTTTAAAAAAGTAACTTACCTGTAATGTGTAAGTAAGCTTGCAGTTCGAGGTAGTTCCATAGTTTGATTACAAAAGTGTGATTCTCTTGCAGACTATAGAACAGTTCCTAGTAAAGGAGGTGAGTTACGTTGTGACTGATCGCAAGGACAGTTTGTCGGAAAGCCGTCCCAGTGCAAGTTGTTCAACACCTGCCTCGCCTTCACCTTCCCCCTCTCCATCAGTGGGTGTGTCGTCTCCTCTCGATGGCTTGGGCCAGAAGAAAACCGTGAGTAGGCCTATAAAAAATTATGATAAACTTTACATGGAGTAAAAATTGGTTTTTCCAATTTAACGTTTTCTATAATATTATAGAATAATATTATTATTCTATAATATTATTTAGTATAGGCCTATTGAAGTGTTTTTATATATGATTACGGAGAAAAAAAAAATTAATCTTAAAATGCTCATGTTCATTTTATTGGTGGTACTAAACTAAGGCCTCTAATAATATTTTTCTAAAAAACAAATATTATTACCCTGCCTGTCATAGCAAACCAAGGTACTTATTACTCCTAGTGTCATTTAAATAGATTTATTGAAAATCAAATCAGAAAAATGGAAATTCGTTAAACTTATTATATGCAGGTTTACTGTGGCGGGGGTACTACTCATTATATCTAGAAAGGCTGTTATGTTTAGGCCTATGTACCGGTATTTTCTGAACTAAAAACATCAAAGGCTGTAAGCATAGGCCTACTGCATTTATTTTTCTTCTTGTATGCCTATAGACATTTTTAATTTCTTTTAATTTTTCTGTCAAGATTTTTCTTCTTGTCTTTCTTTTAAATTCTTCTGACTTTTAAACAGCCATTTTCTTTACAACTCTCTCCTAGTCTCCTAGAATTATCCACTCTTTAGAAACTCAAGTAGGCTACAGTAGAGTCTCGACTATCAGACCTTCATGTGTGGCGCGATCGTCAACACATCCCGCAGTCACAGCGGCAGTGCGAAGATCCTCCCAAGATCACGGCACCGTTATGGAGCCATCGTCAACTTGTCTTACGGTCACCACGATCACAGCGCCTTAGTCAACATGTCTGACAGTTATGGAGCCATCGTCAACTTGTCTTGCGGTCACCGCGATCACACCACCTTAGTCAACATGTCTGACAGTTATGGAGCCATCGTCAACTTGTCTTGCGGACACCGCGATCACAGCGCCTTAGTCAACATGTCTGACAGTTATGGAGCCATCGTCAACTTGTCTTGCGGTCACCGCGATCACACCACCTTAGTCAACATGTCTGACAGTTATAGAGCCATCGTCAACTTGTCTTGCGGACACCGTGATCACAGCGCCTTAGTCAACATGTCTGACAGTTATGGCGTCATCGTCAATATGTCTGGTGGTCACCGTGCCATTTTTGAACATATCCCGCTAACACTGCACCATTGTCGACATGTCATGGTGCTATCTTAAACATGTCTTGTGGACATAGTTTTGCCATCTTGAACGTCTCCTGCGATCATGACACAATTGTCAACATGTCCAACGCTCACAGCGTGTTCGTCATCTTATCCCATGGTCACAGCACCAGCGCAAACGTTGTTTTAGCGAATTTCCCATCTAGAGAATTAGTTAAGTTATTACCGTTGATGACATTTGGTATGAAAGTGTCAACTAACATTATTTCAAACGAGTTCACGAACCGGCCAGACTATGGGAGCGGGGGCTATTTTTGGCCCTAAAACCATAATATTTTACAATGTCTTTCTAAACAATTTGTTTGAGTTTAAACAAATTAACAATTTTAATTTAGTAAGTTATATTGGAGCCTTGTTTTATACTTAAGGGTTAAGAAGGAAATACCAAAGAAGAACGGAGAAAATTCAAAAAATTGTAAATTAAAAATTCCCATGTTATTCTTATAGAGAGAAAATAAACTGTTGTAGTTTGCTTGTTTATGGATTATTTTTATTTCATTTTCCAAATGTGCTAATTTTTTAGGCTAATAATATTTCAGTAAAAAAAAAAAAAAACACACACACATTTATCTTCCCTGTAGCATTCAACTTGAATAGGTAATCAATAAAATTAATGTTATTTAAATAGAAAAAGGAAATAAATATGACAATTTTAAGAATTTCCTTAGTCTGTAGGTTTGCTGCAGCAGAAGTATTTGTCATTTACCGTGATATCCGACCTCATTACTTATCTGTTCTTGCCGAGGCCAGTTTATGCCAGACCACTGGAAATGGTTTTAGACAATGTCATGTTTAGACAGCTAAACTAAGAGGATAAAGGCAGTGGTCTAGCACGTAGCTGTTTTGACAGTTGTTGATCTGACTTGGGGAGTCTTTGTGTTAGGACTTTGTTAAGTGATACTTCTAAGTTGCTTGTAGTGTTTCAATGGTGAGTTTTTACAGAGATCGCGTGCTGAGGCTATGCTAGAGAGGGTTCGCCTACAGCCTCAGTCTGTGAAAATCGACCCGTTAGACAACGCTCGCAACTGGAACATTCCAATCTACTCTGTCCAGGAGGTACTATGAGCTATCTTATATATCCTACATTTAGAATTTTTTTTAAAATTAACTATTTTAGATGTAAGAGATGTTCTTGATACATTCTTGATCAGTGGGTTTATCGTAAACAATCCTAGCTACAGAATCATGTTTATGGACAGTAAAATTACATTTTTTTTGTTTTCATATTTTGTGTCCAGAAAGGCCATTCAATATTGTTCTCTTTTAACTTAGATACCGTCACATATTCACGGAGGTTCCATTATATGTCTTGCGGTCACGGCATTATTGTGAACAGCTCCTTCGATCGCTTCCCTATAGTGAACATCTCCTACAATCACTGAGACATTATCGTCTCCTGGTTTTGCGGAACCATGGTAAACAACTCACACAATTGTAGCAACATCACACCACCTGATACATTCATACCTGCAACATTTGCAGTTGTCACATGGAGATGTCATCATTGTTACCCATGAAATAGCAAAATCTCTAACAATTGGAACAAATACCATCCCGAGAAAATCAATGCCTGTCAAGTGTCAAACGCTATCTAAATTTGCTGTTAAAAACTTTGGTGGTGCTAGATTATCGAAAATTATGGATTTCTGAACGTATTCTGAAAACAAGCATTGTTATAGCCTATACTAACAAAAATTGGGCGTCAAAACAAAAACCTTAGCCAGTGTGCCATTATTCCATTATTATTTGTTTTATTGTGTTTCTCTTATTTTAGTAGTCATATGCAATGCAAAAGGAATCAAACAAAAAATAATCAATATAAAATGCTTCAAATTTAATTTAGTGCAACCAATATCTAACACTCTTATATAGCTTAAAACAGCATTAAAAACGTACGCTGGATTAGCAGGCTCCTACTGTATCAGCTTATGTTCACAATGGAGATTGTAGTATAGTGCACAGTGAAAGTGCTTAAAAATTAATTGGCAAAAATTCAAGGTGATTAATTAATTAAGACTGACATTTAATCAAGGATCTACCCTGACATTTTATTAGTATTATTTAATATTGCTTAGCAAACGGGGTTTTAATGATGTGTGATTCCCAGATTTGGCATCGCCTTGAGAAGATCAGCGCTAAGGTATCACACAGTAGCCATAGCACTGCACCAGGACTCAAGGTACTGAGAGGACATTATCTGAAGCTAGAGACAGGCCCTGGCCGACGACCGGAGTTCAAGGAACTACGACATTGGCCGAACGTTGACCTAGACAGTGCGCAGGGCGAAAGTCCCTTCATTCGTCCTTTGGATGGCTCCCAGAGGTGAGTCCAGTTGTGCATTGCCGGTCTGAAAAAACTAAGTCGTGTGTAAAACATTATAAAGTTGTGTTGGTTATTAGGTTGCACTATCAACAACTTTATGAATACAATAATTATGTGTGAAATTGAGCCTTCCATACATATTAAGTGTAGCCTAGGCCTATCTAAATTGAACAAATGTTTGATTATTTAAGAGCCAATGGATCTGTGGCTATTTTGTCTGTGGTATGTTCTCTTAGCGTCTAGGTATCAATAGTCAAATTCTGAATCATACACTTAGAGCGATGTGTAGCCACTTTTAATCAGGTATTTATCTATGGAATTGATTCAAGCTGTAGAAAGTTCCAAAAGTATCGTCTAAGCATCTAAATTGTAGAGAGATTCTAAATTATAGACCTAGAGCTATGTATGGAATCAATTAGAGTTTTAGAATCTTCCATTTGATGTCATTATTGTTTTTGTTCTATGTTATCTCAACATTCAGACAGCTTAATTACAGAGCAACTCTAAATCATAGAAACTAGAGCTATTTATAGCAGCTTTTATAACAGTGTTGGTCTATAAAATTCATTCAAGTTTGAGATCCTTAAAATTTCAAAATGTTGTCAGTGACAGAGAGAACAAAAAAATAAATTGACATGTTTTCTTTAAATAGGAGGTTTGAGAGGGAAGTTATTCTTATCTCTGTGCTTGTCAGTGATTTGCATGAGCACGGTATGATTTCCTCCAATTTTTAGTGAATATCAACACTTTTCGTTTTGTAACACACATGGAACAAACACACCCAATTCTAGAACAAAGGCAGCTTCATGAAGCATTTCATACTTTATTTCTTCAGCTCAGGAATGACCAAAATCAGTTTTTAATTATTTCTGTAAGTCTGACTTTATTCAACGAGCTTTTGTTCAAGATAAGAGTTAAAATACAGGGACAAGGTACTAACATGAGTACCTATCCATCCACAAGAGATGCTGGTCAGTAACATTAAGGTAATACAACTTCATGACTTATAGCCTATATGACATCAATTATTTGTGGAAGAGTGGCAGGGGCAGGTCCGCCGGCCCGGTGCAGTGTGTCCTTCACCATGCCTTCTTGTGTATTTCAACTGTTGCCGGCTCCGGCGGGTGGCGATTCTGCGGGCTCATGTATTGCTGGGCTTACTGGTTTGGTTGACCCGTGAAGCGTTACTTCTACATGTCCCAGTCAGCTAATTCTTGTCCTAACTAAGCATACAGTTTCTTTTCCTTGAGAAGATAATCAGTATCTTAGCTTTTAAGGATCTTGACTCTTCTCTGTCTTAACGAACAGCCCCTTGTATTTGTGATTGGTTTTATGAATCAGAATGAAAATAATTTATTGTTTTTCAGCATGCAATAAACAGTGTAATTTTTAATAATGATTGTAACTGATCCTGTTATTGGTGCCATAGGTCCCTCACTTGTACAGCTTCCGATTTTTTTACTAAGTGGTCCCGATTGGTATTGTTTTTTGTCAATGCTCTGGATACAATGGGGAAAAATATCAAATCCATTGTTATTGCTATTTTCTAGACCAGGTTACTTATGAGCCATTATGTAAACTTTCCCATCATCTGCTTGCTGATTTAAGTTTTGCTGTTTGTGTGCTATTCATCAACTTTTCCTATAGGTAATTTGATAAACCTTTGAATGAGAAAACGGTGATATTTATAACTGGCTATGTAAAATGACAATATGACTATATTGTTGACTGCTGTTCTGGCAGCCAGCCTGAGAGGATTGAAAATTGCCAGCAAAATGTCTAAAATATATTTTTCCTGACTCAAAAATAGGATACACCTTATTATCTAAAATTACTGGTTAACAACTTGTTTACTAATTAGGTACTAATTACTACATAATAACCCATTTATAGTCTGATGATCTGCAACAGTAAAATTTCATTTTATTTTCTGCATGGATTTGTATATCAAACCTTAAAGTAATTGTCATTCACCTTAAGAAAGGAGTGAAACTAATTAGTTAGGCTTCCTGTTTGTGCTAATATTTGGCCTAGAGAAGTACTAGAGGACTTACCCCTGGTGGAATGTTTCAATGAGCTAGTATATTTCAACTGTTTGTTGCTTTCAGGTCTGCTTTTTACTCTTTCTGCTTGGCTTAATGCCAGGCATGGCTTCACTATAACTTGCTGTGGTATGTCTTTCTATTCTATTCTACCAAGACTGATTGTTGTAAATCTGTCGTCTATTGTTTGTTACTAGTTGCTTTGCATTTCCTGTTTTTATAAATGTCTAGGCATGTATGTTCTTGAACCTTTTCCCACTCTAATCCCATTCTTAAGCATCGTCATACATTATACAGGGTGTTTCCAAATTGTCTGGACATATTTTGTGGACTTGTTCCTTGGGCTAAGACAAACATAACTTATATGGCATTTCATGATTGGTTTAGCCCAAGGAACAAGTCCACAAAATATGTCCAGACGATTTGGAAACATTCTGTATATTTAAGCTATTTTATGGGAAGGGCAAAATGTTAGATAAATTGTTGTCCTGCATTTTATGTTATCCATTTAATGTTTTGGCATTTTGCTCCTTTCAATATATTTCATCTGCATTTTTAATATTTTTGTAAGGGAATGTACCAAACCTTGGTCTTGTTTCTAAAAAATCAACCATTTTGGTAATAGCATTGTTCATTAATAGCCCAATGACAAATGAGCCCTTGTGTCCATAGTGGTACAGTAGAGTCCCGCAAACTCGGCTCTCGATAACCCGGCAGTCTGGATAACTCGGCCATCACTTGGCTCAGAAAATTAGTAATTTTTAGAGTCCGAGTTAAAAATGGACTCAAGCCAAATCATTCGCAACTCATACCAAGGATTTGATGTACTATATCTGATGACTTAATACTGACTTGTACTATAAACATAAATAAAAAAGGCGGTTAAAAAGCTTAAAAATTGTATTGTTCTTATTTTTAACCCTAGTTCCTGATAACCCGGCATTTCACAAACTCGGCACCCTTCCAGCCCACATTATGCCAAGTTTGCGGGACTCTACTGTATAAGTCATTTTGTTTTGTTAACTCAAGTATTTGGTACCAATGGATAACTATATTCTGGTTCTATTTGTGGCTGGTTATATTTGTGGGCAAAGTGGTATAAGTCAATTGCAATCATCAGAGGTATCAGAGGGAATTTTTGTTTTGCTCCCAAACAATCAGCTGGTATCCTAGGTAACCATAGTGGTTCAATTCAGACTTTTAAGACTATTGCTGCAAACAACTTTACTTCAGTCAGTGAGATTTAAGAGAACGATTTCAAGATTCAATGGCTGCGGTATGTGAGAGTAACCCCCTTAAAATTCTACATAAAGAATGCCTAAATTAAGAAATGGAATTTTGTGAAATTGTCATCAGTAAAAAGAAAATGTGAAATAGGCCTACAGGAAATTTTAAGACAATTTCACTTCAGCCTTTGTATGCTAGTCTCTGGCAGTACAGAGAAAAAAAACAAACAAGATATGTTAGATTTTCAGCCCTACATACCCCCGTCAAACTGCGTTCTACAACAACATTGTTGATACACAGTCTGCAACAGAGGAGCTCGTCCCATATCTGGCTTAGAAGATAATGAAAAGGACAAAGATTAATAAGTTTAAGGCCTACAGTTGATGTAACTTAATTATGTTTTAAGTCAATAAAAGTTAAATTTTGTATTAATTTATACATATTTTACTAATTTACCTAGCATTTGCAAGAAAATGTCAAGACAGAGTGGTAGCCTATATGTAATTTTAACCACTACAGGACCACCCCATACAAAAAATCTGAAATAAAAAGCTGTATACACTATTAAGTAATACATTTATGAATACTTATTATAAATCTGTAATTAATTGTATGATTTATGGTAAGATATATACTAAACACTTTTGTTTCTCAAAATTAGCTAAGTGTGACTTGTACCTCTATGGATTTCAGGGGCTCAAATGACATCTGGTTTCAGTGGCGGATCCAGCCAGGGAGCGCAGGTTGCGCCCCTCCCCTTGGCCAAAAATCATCAGCGATTGCGGCCAAATTTTGAAAATATGCCATCACGGGAGCATTGTTTTTGTCACCCCCGGCTGCGGAAAAATTGTTGACAACCTTTAACAACCGTTACGTATAACCTAAACCTTACCTAATGTAACCTACCTTAATGCAGTCACGAATCCGCATATACCCATTACAACTTGCCTTTACTAATATAGAACCGATTTTTAAATATACAGCGAGTTTGGTTGGTTTAGGATTGTTTCACTCATTTTACAACTTTTACAGCATGTTGCGTTAGTTAAGAACAGTTTTATTTTTTAATCAGTGTGTTTATTCCGCTAAATGTTGTACGGTACCGAAGAGACACAAATGGCGCAATACTTTGGTATAGGGATGGACGGGATTGAATTTTTAGTTCGGGACGGGACGGGGCGGGATTTTTATTTCCTTCCCGATTTTTGGGACGGGACGGGACGGGATTTTTTTCTGTGCATAAAAAGAAAGTACTGTATTGCAGTTACCAAAAAAGACATACGAAATCAATTTTTACCATTTGTGGCACTGATCTATAAAAACCAAAAAATGGGTAACAATTTACAGGTACCTATAGAAACTTGTGACTCGCGGGTCACGGGGTGATCGTCTGTATGACTCACGGTCACGGCGCGATCGTCGGTATGACTCTGCGGTCACTGGGTTATCGTCGGTATGACTCCACGGTCACGGCGCGATCATCGGTATGACTCGCGGTCACGGCACGATCGTCGGTATGACTTGCGGTCACGGCGCGATCGTCGGTATGACTCGCGATCACGGCTCGATCGTCAGCATGACTCCGCCATCACGGCATGATCGTCAGTATGACTCCGCGGTCACGGCGCGATCGTCGGTAGGACTCCGCGGTCACGGCGCGATCGTCGGTATGACTCGTGGTCACGGCGCGATCGTCGGTAGGACTCCGCGGTCACGTCGTGATCGTCGTTATGACTCCGCGGTCACGGCGTAATCGTCGAAATGACTTCGTCTCCTGCGTTCGCGGACCTATCGCTCGCAATAACGGCGTTATCGGCACTCGCAAAGCGGAAAAATCACCGACGATCGGACCAAATCCCGTCCCGAAAAATTCCCGAGTAAAATGTAATCCCGTCCCGATAATCGGGAATATTTTTTTCCCGAAAAATTCCCTAAATTTCGGGACCCGTCCATCCCTACTTTGGTATCATAATCATGACATTGCAGCAGAAACAGAGGGATATTGTAGGTGATTGCGTGTGATTCTTGTGGTTTTTGTTTTGTGATTTCTTTGTCTAGCAGCTTCTCTTTGTTAGTTTCAGTAGTTTGGTTGTTTATTGTGGTGTATATTGAGGTTCAGGAGAAACTATGGTTATATTAGTTTTTTTGTCTGGTCAATTGTTTTATTATTCTCTAGAACATCATTCTATCACATCACTTTTTACACATTTTCACACTTCAAGAAGTGCGTTAAGGGTGAGTTGGGCGTTGTAAATTTTTCCCCTTACAAATTTTTTAATATTACCGTTCTCTTGTCCAGAATGACTCGGAAAGCGACCAAGGATGGAACGGAGCGTTTGGCCCATGGCTTTTGCGAGATGTGCTGCGTCGAATACCCAGACATCAAGACTCACGTATTGACTCCTCGACATCTCAAGTTTGTTAACGACACAGAGAACTATGCCGAGCTCGACAATCTCATCAAGTGCAAGACAATTGACTCCTTCCTTACCTCGCAGATGTGGTAATTTAGAAATCCTTTTATTTTCTTGTTTGTTGCCAAATAAAGTTTGGTGCTGGTTTTTTATGACTGTTAGTTGAAAGGTTTTCATAAAAAGTTGCATACAAGAATTTGGTTATCTTTTAGTATTTTGTGTAATAGTATTGTTTATGAATGACTATGGAGCATGCAACTTTTTGTGTTTGGGTGAAATTCTGCTTTTAAATGCTTTGCCTTTGCAATTAATTTCAAGGGAAAAGGATTTCCATTTAATGTGAAGTATAATTTAGGAAAGGAACGGAGTTTAGCAAGCTTATCCAAGAAATTAAAGAGTTCTAGGGCTTATAGCTGCACAAGGTTCCATAAAATAGGATAAACGTTTTGTCCTTGTACCTAGGTTAAAAAATCATTGTTATGTCATTTAACATTCTCTTGTGTTCATAAGTCACTACAATCAATTTATTTTCTCTAGTAAGTTACTAAATTGTATGAAAAAATCTCCTTGTCTTAAAAAAAACTTAAAGATAACAACACTGGTATTTCATCCTTGTGTAATGATTGTCAAAGGCATTCAGTGTGTGCAAACTTGATAGCCTCGCTACGTGAACTCCCTTACCAACAACTATCTCAACTTATCAAACAACATTTCCTTCTTAAAATCATATATCGGTAAAAAGGTATCATATTCTAAGATTAAAAAATATAAATTAAATAGTTTTACTGTCAGTTAGATAATAGCTAACCTCGCTTACAGTAGTTTACCAAAATAAGCCCTTTACTTTATCTGTTACAGATGCTTTACTTACATGCTCAGTGTATGTGTGCCTAGCGCAGCAGTGATATTGTTTGAATTTATTTTGTCTTTTAACCAACCAAGTAGATAGTTTTTTGTTGAATCAGTTTTTGTAAATGCAGTAATCATGCATTTTGTAAATACTTACCTAAAGGTAGCCTAAGGATATTTTATATTTTGCAAACAATTTATGTTTAAAATGTTTCAAGACTTGATGATACAAACTATGTACTGTGTATTATTTCTTTATTAAAAGATAGAAAAGAAACAGATTTGCACTTTTCATTTCTGATATTTAAGTAGATTAAAATATTTCATACATAAATGTTTACTTAGACTACTTTAAACCTATTAATGTTGTGCTATGAGAAGATCATAATGTAGTAGTACATTTATCTTTGATTATTTGAGGCAAGAAGAGGAGAGTTTGGATGTAAACCATAGATAATTGAAATTAACGGGTTAATTAAGTTAATGGGTACTTAATTACAAAATTCAAAATAGTAAAGAGAAAAAGGCGAAGGCTCTATACATACATAGGCTACAGTATAAATTTTGAAAAAATTTTCAAAAAAATCAATGATAAATTTGTACAAAAATATTGATATTGTGCATTCAAAATATGTAAGAAAAAATTTCCGATAAGAAGCATATATTTTGCATTCATGCTGACATATGTACGAGGGCTATCCAGAAAGTAGATTACATTTTGTCTGTGTCCGCTAGGGGCGGGGCTAACGCAACCATCTTGATGTTAGTTCGTTATGCAGGTCAGTCGGCATCTAGCCGTGCTATTAAGAGGTTCCTGCTGTACTCCGTTGAGTTACAGTGACAGTTTAAAATGTCTGTGTTAATTGAAAATGCCGCAAACTGTGAAGTGTGTGCAAAAAAAAAAAAAAAAAAAATTAATTGACTATTTTTGGTTACAGTTTGGTAACCAAGCTTTTCAGGTTATGATCTCCTGCAACAAACTTCGCAAAATTTGTGGAAAACCCATAGAGAGTTCTTTTATTGTGAACTTTTGAGTTTTACGGATATCGGCATTGACTTTTTTGACAAGTTCGGCAGTCACAATGCTTGGTCTTCTACTTCCCTCTTTGTCGTGAACGTAAGTTCGGCCATCTTTAAATTTGATTCCCACTGACGAACTCCACCTTCAGTAACATTATTTTCCTCACAAACTTCACAAAGTTGCCGATAGATTTCTATCTGTTTACAGTTTTTTGCAGTCATAAACCTTATAACTGCATGCACTTTACAGTTCGCGGTATTTTTAATTAACACAGACATTTTAAACTGTCACAGTAACTCGACAGAGTAAAGCAGAAACTTCTTACTTGCACGGCTAGATGCTGACTGAGCTGCATAACGAACTAACACCAAGATGGTCGCGCTAGCCCCGCCCTAGCGAATACAGACAAAAACGTAATCTACTTTCTGGATAGCCCTCGTATTATAGTGGTTTACTGAAGAAAAAAAAATAGCAAGAATGGTTGATTACTGCATGTGCTATCATAGACTAACAACAACAACAACAGCAACAATATCAACAGTTTGCTTCTATAAGACTAAAAAGACCCAGGGCTATAGAATAAAGGGGCTGGCTCACATCGACTAGCAAAGTGGTCCCACTGCCGTGTGGCTGTGACGTCACCGGGCTGACTCCACGGATGGAGCTAGCACGCGGCACATATACAAACCGCTCATTTAAACGCTTCCCTAAATTTACACAGTTCAATTGTCCTTATGAAACTTAAATCGTTGAATATGCATTAACTACCGAATCTGATGGTCCAAAAATATTTTAGTTATGATCAATAAAATTTGTTTAAAGGAGGAAATTATAAGGATTACAAACTTGTGAACTTCAAAAATCACTAAGCGGGGATTTTTTTTATTTTTGGGATAGGAACAAACTTTGAGTAAGAAAAATATTCATTAATAGTTCTATTTCAATAATTAGTCTGAAAATTCTTGATAAAACCAACGGGTTGTTTATTGCTTATCAGGACTTGTGAACTAAGGAAGTAAGGCCTCATAAACTTGGTGATCACATTCCATCGTTCTGCACATGTCTGCATCACACTGTTTATGACATTTGTTACGCATGAGTGTATTATTTGTTGTTGGTAAATTACGAAGGACCATTGAAAACATGTACCTTTACAAACTCCAGTGCAGACGTAGGGGGAAGTGGGAAAGATGGCGTATTTGAACTTCAGATTAGTGTCGGCGCCGTGACGAACCCTTGGTAGTTGGATGTTGGATGAGACGATTTTCGCTCTCTTCTTTCTGCTTGAAAGCTTGATGTTCGCATGTAACGCTAAGTCTTTTATTGTTCGTGGCCTCTTTAATTACGCAGAAGTCGCGACACCGCACAGGACACTGATTACTTGATGGTGCATGATTCGTGAGTTAATAAAACACAAATAAAAATACTACTTGTCAATAAAACAACAAAAATAGCTTCAGAATAAGATTGGACAATGTCAATTACAATAAAAATGAAAACTAAAAACAAACTTGATTAGTTAATGTTAATGGCAATGAGGTTGAAAGAGGTGGCCGGTACTAAACCATATTCATAGGGCTGTGGATAGAGAGAGAATGACCAGGTTACCTGTCTGAGGCGAATGACAAGTGATAAGGAGGACAATGACATGAATAGAGCGATAAGATTGTTGTCTGAAGATAATATGGACTTGGGTTCTGTGGCTTTGGTGTTTGGCATTACCATTTGTTTTTAAAATAAAATAAATATTCTTCTTTTGAATTAATATAAAGTTAATAGTTCCTTTTTCCTTCTAAATACTAAACAATAATAATAATAATTATAATAATAAATAATTATTAATAATAATAATAATAATAATAATAATAATTATTATTATTAAACAACATTACTAGCTGTACCAGCGGGCTTTGCCCCGTTTAACTTCTTAATTTTCAAGATGAGCTCGTTCGCATGGCTCAATCACGTCCTGGTTGAAGTTCGTTCGCTACGCTCACTCACCTTTAGGTTGGAGCTCGTTCGCTCCGCTCACTTGCCTTCAGGTTAGCTCGTTCGCTACGCTAACTTGCTTCCAGGTTGAAGTTCGTTCGCTACGCTCACTCACCTTTTGGTTGCAAATTGGCTGTAGTCATAATTTAAAAAAAATAATTGTGCTGCACCCTGTTCGTAATCCTTGTAACTTTAATGCTATTGAACATCATAGAACAGAACCAACTTGTTTAAATGAAACAGCTGTTAAGAAATTCCTTTTAAATATGAAAAATCATAAGGTTAACATGGGAAACTCCAGAGCCACCGGGACGGAGCCCGAAAGCCCGATCAGAATAAAAACTACTTAGTTTTCCTATTTAATGCCCAAAGAATCGGTGTAACGAATTTCAGCCTCCTAGGTAAATGGGAAGTGGGAGAATTAGTGATGAGTGAGTGAGTGAGTGAGTCAGTGAGGGCTTTGCCTTTCATATATTTAGATATTAAAAACGTTATGATCTTGATAAAACAATTGCACTGTTTGTATTAGTGAAACAAGTAATTAGTGCTATAAAACTGTATTTTAAAAATTGTGTAGACTTAAGGCTTAGAATGTTATTTACCTTGTTTGATATTCCGGTACTCCTTGTCATAACTTCTAATACACTTGGTTGGGTAGGAATGTGTAATGGTTTAGGTAATTTTATATTGTTTGTAGAACAAAGTGTTTATTCATACAAAATAAGTAAAAGAGCGTTTTAATTCCAATTTTATTCTAATAGTATCGGTCCTTTTTTGCTGATTTAAGCCACTTACTCATCTTCTGATCATTTTTTCATCTATCTTCTTTGATTGTTCTGTTCAAATGCCGAATTCGGATGATTGTTCTTAGTTTTGAAAAGAGCCTAATAGATTGTGGACACACACTGGGGAATTTTTGTTTTAAAATGTTTTAAAAACGTTTGAAAACATTAATTTGTCTATCAAGGAAGTAACCGTGAAGAATGTGGAATTTTCTGTCAAACATATGAATAAGTAGCTTCCACTTGTCAGACGGCGTTGTTAGGCCTGGAAAATGTTTACTTTAGTAGTAATTTAACAGCTATAAGTATACAAGTATCTAATCATTTAAATATTTTACAGAGGTGTTAAAAGATATATTTTAATTTCATGTTCTAATCATTATGTTTGCCTAGGTAAGATAAGTAGAACGATTTATGAACTGTTAAAAGTATTTAAGAATTGTATAGTAATTACTGTGGAAGAACTGATTGACTGTAGTTTTCTCGCTGAGAGTTTGTGCCTAACTCGAAAATAAAAATATTTCCTAGCTTAGTGACTTTTTCAAGTTTTATTATTGTAGTTTCTCTACGTTTGTTGTTATAAAACCAATTTACTTGTTGAAAACTAAAAACTGTTTGGATATTTGGATTCTACAGTTAATGCAGAATAAAACGATATAAGTTTCATATGAGAAATATGTTCGTATAATGGTAGGGGAGCGTGTAAAAGAGAGATTTTTGCTGGCGCGATATGGAAGCAGGCCCGACTGACCGCCCGGTGACGTCACAGGAGGTAGGGGAGCGGGACCATGTCGGCAAGTGCTACATCAAGGACGTGAGCCAGCCCCTATATTCTATAGCTCCGACAAAGACCTATGTTGGTGGAACCGTAAAAAATATTTTATTTGAATATAATATCCGTTAAACCAAATATAAAAAGTAAAATCAGACAATCATAAAAATAAAATATATTATTAGGCCATACAAAATGTTCACACTTTTAATGTAAATCTTGATGCCCAGAGATTGATTTGTGAATTGTGAAATGTTGTATAGTACTGGTAATTTAAATATTTGAACAATTGCTAGTTGTCTATGTCGGAGTATCATGGTCATTAATGAAGTTAGAGGTGGTTCCCTCTAAGTCTTCCGATTTAGAAAATTGCTATCACAGGAAATGATCTTGATGCCACCATGATTGCAAGAAATGATTACGATGTTTCTGGGATTGTGGGAAAGTGTCATGATATCACTGCGGTTGCAGGTGATGGTCATGACACTACAGTTCTGGTGTAAACAATCTTGAAACATTTGAATAACTATTATTGATCTGTCATATAGTAGCCTAAATAATAGCCAGTATTTGGAAAGTAGATTCTAACTTCTAAGTTGTATATTGAGTTGGTAACAATACGACTGTTCTTGCCTTTTCAGGACTCAACTGTTTTGATTTGAATATGAGATTCCTGGATTTGACGATCAATGAAAATCACGGTATTTAGGCCTATTGATTTTGTTGCAACTACAGAGAATCCTGAAATAAATATAAAATCTACACAATCAATTCACAAAGTATTGAGATTCTATCAAAGGTTTTGTGAAGTTGAGTGTCGGAATCGCTGACATTTAGTTTTGATTTTTTTCCCTCAAGCAGATATATAATACATTTATCAAACTGTTTGAAATGTGGGCTGATGCTAATTTTTATGCGAGTAATCGGCTATAGAAATAACAGGTACCTGAGTAAACAATAACCTGAATTGGCCCATTCTCACTTGGGTAAAAACAAAGTTCTGTAGATTGACATGTCGCCAGAGCGCTAATTGTCCAGCTGAGTAATGGACAGTGTGTTGCAGTGCCAGTATAGGGGGCCGCAGGTGTTTACGCGGGGGCTCCGTTGAGAAGGTGATGGGTTCTCGGAACAGCAGCCTTTCCCAATCCAACGGACAGCTGTTGCCTCGCACCCGAGCCACCACACGTTCGTTGGATGACTCTTACACCAAGAAGCCTCTTGAGGTTTGTTTACATCATTTGATATATTTCTTTACTGTCTACGCTACCTACATTTTGTGTGGAAGAATCACAAACACTTAATCAAGCAGTTTAAATTCCTGTAATATTTGGGTTATGGTGGGGATTGACCTGTCGCACTCGCACCTAAGGTTAGGCTTAGCAATATGCTAGCAATACACTTAAGCTATGACTGGCTTCACATAGGCAATGACATCCTTCCCCCAGGCTGTCTACAACTCCCGAATATCCTCAATCTCTTGAAAAGTCGCCAATAATTCAGTTGGGTCCCTCATAAATCTGAAATCTATATTTTGTGTAATTACATAATCTTACAAAATTTCCGACTTTTATTCGCCCAATTTTACAATTGAAATTTGCACTGATTATGTTTATTTGCTTTTCATAATTAAATTTATTCATTATCACACGATTTATCTGTAATTTTGTTGAAACTTAAAAAAAATATTTTGTTAACCCTATTGCTCTTTAATTTCTTCAAGTTCAAATTTTACTCATCTCAACGTTCCGGTAATTTTTAATAAGTAGCTAAATTTTAACTACTCCTGGCTTAAAATACCCCTAATTTTTATTTTCTCTCAACTATTTGGCTGAAATTGTAAATCAGATTTATTTGGTTATTTTTATGTTAAGACAAGTGTAACAAACTTGGATTTGCTCTTAGTGCATTACGTTCCATTTGTCTGCTACTGATGTATATCTAAACATTTTTAATTTGTTGAAGATATGTATTCCAAACCTGAGAATTCTGAAGATTTTATTTCCGCACTCAGACAAGATTCAACAAAGGGATTTTTTATGTTAGGAAAATTCTAATATCATTGCGATTGTGGAAGAAATCTGCGTAGCTTGCATTATCACTTAAATGTTTGTATATTGCTACAAAGCTGTGACAGCAAAGTATATACAGGGTGAGTTTTAAATGAGTTCCCCCCCTACTTTTTTCTACATTTCTTAAGATATCAACTCCGGACCACGTCAGATCATTGTAGAGTAGCAAGTAATTCATTTTGACTGGATATAAATTTTCGGCCGCCATCTTGGATCCGCCATATTGGATACAAAGTTTTTTTTTTAAATGTAAAGGTAGGGTTGTGACCCATTATTTCAAACAAAAAATTTACGCTTATTACAATGCCGCAATTAGTTTTCAAAAATCTTGATCCGTTCTAATGTTATTAGGACTTTTTATAACTTTATTTTTAGCCCATTTTAACATTGTGCATTTACAAACTAAGACCATAATCTCAAAATAGTGCTAGATAAAGATAAGTATACACCACTATTCTTTGTCGACCTATTTTCACTTGGTAATGACGGATGTATTTTTTTGGTCGCCATCTTGGATCCGCCATTTTGAAATTTGACAAATAAATCTAAATATGAAGGTGGTGTTGTGACCCATCATTTTGAAGTACTTTTTTATGCTGAACTCAATGCCGCAATCAGTATTTCATTTGCATGTTTGGTTTTTGAATTATTGAAATCTTAAATAAGATAATTTTAATAGTTCATCAAGAAAGCTTGATAACCAAAAACGGATTGCGGCATTGGGTTCAGCATAAAAGAGTAGTTGAAAATGATGGGTCACAACACCACCTTCATATTTAAATTAATTTGTCACATTTCAAAATGACGGATCCAAGATGGCGGCCGAAAAAAATACATCCGTCATAACCAAGTGAAAATAGGTCGATAATGAATGGTGGTGTATACTTATCTTTATCTAGCACTATTTTGAGATTATGGTCTTAGTTAGTAAATGCCCAATGTTAAAATGGGCTAAAAATAAAGTTATAAAAAGTCCTAATAACATTAGAACGGATCAAGATTTTTGAAAACTAATTGCGGCATTGTAATCAGCGTAAATTTTTTGTTTGAAATAATGGGTCACAACCCTACCTTTACATTAAAAAAAAAAAACTTTGTATCCAATATGGCGGATCCAAGATGGCGGCCGAAAATTTATATCCAGTCAAAATGAATTACTTGCTACTCTACAATGATCTGACGTGGTCCGGAGTTGATATCTTAAGAAATGTAGAAAAAAGTAGGGGGGGAACTCATTTAAAACTCACCCATATGAATCTGTAGAGACAGTCACAATGAAGGATTGTTTAAGAAATCACTAATTTCATGGGAATAAATCAATATGTTGGCACAGTTACAATATAGCCGTGATCCAAAAGACTTCTATGATCTCAATGGTCAACGAGAGTAAATCATGACATTTCCTTTATTGCCAGAGGTGATCAAGATCGAAACAAAAGGATTAAACCAATAGAAAATTCCACATTCTTAAACCCAACCTTAACTGACTCCTATTTTTAATAAGCTTATTGTGCATTAACTATTTGATATGGCAGTTATAGCTACATAATTGCCTCTACATAATTGTGTGTGGACACTTTTCATCACCAAGAGTTGAACTGCTGCAAGTCAGACAGTTTGATTAAATTTTCTGTTAACATGTGTGAAGTACGCAGGAACTTGCATGATAATTATGAAGGACATTTTTGGGCATCCTGTATTGCGACAAATATTGAAAAACTTGCAAACAATGCATTTCCAAGTAGATCAAAACCACAGTTAGGGTATGGTTCACAAGAAAACCAATTTTGATATTTTGTTCATGAAATGTTTTTACTAGCTCCCCTAAAACTTTTAAAGACATAAGACATCTTTGTTTTTGTTACAGGTGCATTGCAATGGCATTGTGAACCATAATCATCTAACAAGATCTGCTGTTAAAAGTGACAGTGTGTTGGGGAGAGAGCTTGGACTGGAGTTGGAGGGGATCTCTCGACGTACCAGAACAATCTCTGCGTCTTGTCCAGCCACGAATACAGAATACTCCCAGTTGTCTCCTACTGGAAGTGACAGCACTCATCACTTGCGATCTAGGAAACAAATCTGGCTTCCAACAAGTCTCTTAGGAACTACAGCAGAGGACGCTCTCAACAACTCGAGACTGAGGCCCAACAGGGAATATCCGGTCGCAGAAGCATTGAAAAGTCCAACATCAGTAAAGAGTATGAAGTCACCATCGTTACCCCCCGAGGAAGCTAGTGAGAAGAAAAGCAAAGCTAAAGAAGAAAATGACACAAGCCATTCAAAGTCATCACCTATGCTTAACAATGATGTTGGTAAAGGATCACAACAAGAATCTTCTGAAGAGGAAGATATTAGTGAAAAGAAGACAAAGAATAATGAAAACATGAAGTTAAAAAAGGTGAATTCCAAAAAGAAGTTTAAAAAGAAAATCCCTCAAGAACTGGCCAGTTTGAATCATAATGATAAAAGGAAAAAGATTCAAAGGAAAAGGCTGTCAGTTGAAGAAAAGCTAATAGAAGATAACAGAACTTACTACAAAGTGGAAGTGTTAAACTCAAAACTACGTTCTACAGGGTATTATATATCTCAGAGCCAAAGAGAGCTTGAAATGAGTAAAGCAAACGGAAACGAGGGGTGTGTCATACAGAACTGTGCAGAGCCCGTTAAAAGTGAAGTAAAATCTGAAGAAAAGGAACCTGTTGTTGTCAGATTTAAGAAAGTTAGGAAAACTGAACTAACATTGTTGAGTGATGAAGCTGAAAGTTTTATGTTTGGAGAACCTTCGAGAAGAGAAAGTTCAGTTTCTACCGTTTCCTCTGAGGAAGACGATGATGAAGTCTCCCTTAAGATGGAACCAGACGAACAAGATAGGATTGTTACAAAAATAAAACGAGAAGTTTTAGATGAGAGTTCCATAGGTAGTTGTAGCATTACAAGTAGTTCAACTTCCTCAAGAAGAAAAAGGAAGAACGCTGATGAAAGTATCATTCAAGATAATATTGATTACTACAAACTAGAGTCATCAAGCTCCAGATTGAGGCTTCAGAGTGCATTATTCCCATCTACTCCAATCAGTATTAAAACAGAGCCAACAAGCGAAACAAAGCCTGGTAGTTCTTTAAAAGTCAAACTAGATGAGAGTAATTTTGGTCCGGAGAGCACAGTTAGTACAGGAAAATCTCAAGAAAATATAGGTCCTAAACCCAGTTATGAAGATTTAGAATTCTCTTTCGAAAGTGTTCCCACCCATGAATCATGGTATCAGGTGTTCAAAAGACAAGATGAGTGTAATGAAATTTACTACCCTAGATATAGTCAGTATCCTAAAATTCTTCTACCCTACGAGTATCCGAGTTCAGTTCTAAGACAGTTCAAGGTAGATGCTCTTAAAGAAAAGGTCGGAAAAAGGAAAAAGAGAAAAGAAGCTAAGTTACAACAGCTCATAATAGATGATAAACCGAGAAAGTCACCGAGGTGTCACGCTTCGACACTGGCAATCATGTCAAGCCTGAAGAGGCGAAGACCACGAGACTCCCCTGAGAAAAAATCTGATCCCGTGAGTGAAATTTCCCTTCCACCTTGTGAGATGATAGTCCAAGACGAAGAGTCAAGATGCAGTACAATCATTGAACCACCGTCTGTCGCTCCCTCGGATACACAAATGTCATCGGGACAAACAGTTCTAATACCAGAGATAAGAATAGACACAAAGCCTGATTATTCCACTCAGCAAAAGAAAATCGAAGAAGAAATTAAAAAGGCCGAAGAAGACATTGATAACTTGTTTAGTGAAATGTGCATGGAGAACGAGGAAGATGTTTTATCTCATTTAATTTATTCCATAAAGAAAGAAGTTGATTCATCCCCTACTAAAGACAGTCCAAAAAAAGGTAAGGGGAAAAACAAGTCTGTTTCTAAGCGTGACAAACCTGAAGAGTTTCCTGATGTTACTACCTGCTTACCAGTTGATCCTGAAGTTTTTGACGAAGTCGTGCCCGAAAGCAATTTATCAGAAGGCCCAATTGTTGATGTACTCAATCTCATTGACACTTACCGAGGATGTTCCAGCATGGAGCGTGCTGACTACGAACATTTAAATCCTCACGCTGTGGATGCATTAAGAGTGTTAATAGCTGAATCTTGTAACAGTTCTGACTGCGGGGGCTCCTCCGCTTGTTGTGATTATAGCTTTTTAGGAGAAGATGGAAGAGTCTGCAAGAAGAGAAAACGAAAAAAGCGAAATATGACAGGATGGCCAGCTAAGAAGAAATTTCCCAAGAAAGGTGAAGAGTTGAGCACAGTAGTGTTGAGAAGAAACTGCAAAGCAAGAGGCAAATTTTCCCAGGTGGAACCTTCAAAAGATAGCCAGAGTGACGTTGCTGACGAGACTGAGGACGATGTGAAGAAAGAACCTTGTGAACTTAGTGTGACTAGGGATCAGACGAATGAAGAAAGTGATATGAAATTGGATTCAAAACCGTGTAGTAGTATTTCTAGGACACCCAGCATTGACTCATCTTCAACCAAGAGTTTTGATGTACAGTCCTGTTGTGTTAGAGTTAAGAAAATGACAGATAACTGTGTTGAGTCATTTTCAAGACATTTAAGAAGTTCAGATTCTAGTCCTAACTCCTCCTCTAGAAGAGGGTCCTCAAGGCAAGCTAAAATTTTGGGTAGAGAATCGTTAAGAAGGTGTAGATGAGATCTGAATTGTAAATAAGTGTAGATATTAAAAGAAAGTAATATAAGAAAATCAAAATAAAACAAAGCTGTCATATCAAACTAGCCAAAAATTTATTTTTTTACAAAATTTATTTTTAGCTGTCTATTTTATTTTTTCAGCATAACAAAAACATTTTATTTAATTTGATAAAAGTTACAAAAGTATAGTTGGAAAAAGGTAATGTGATTATTTCAGAATCTAATCTGCTCCTTGCATACAAATTGAATTGTCGATTTTGTTATATATTTTGACGTATGTCTTGGAAACATTTAAAATTAAATACTTGTAAAAAGGAACAAGTTTATAGTATTTGACCTAACATTAAACAAGTTGATTTGCCATTCTGTTGAGAACTAATTCCTTAAATTTGAAATAAAGGACTAAACAATCTTCAAAGTTTCTAATTTTTGTAGATTAAAAAATGGATAGATAATTCTTCAATCTAATGGAAAACCTATGAAAAATTTATGATTTTGCAGTAATGAGAAAATAACTGAATGTACTACAAAAAAGGTGCTGTATGGTAAAATAACGACATAATAAGGTAAAAATTATAAAAAAGTTAAATTAACCTGTGTCCACCAATTTATCCTGTTATATCCTTTACATGAAATGTTTAAATCGCTTAAAAAAAATAATAATTGTATAAGGCCATTGCACTTTTTTCTTCATAAACCATTTCGCTGGTGGATAGAAGTTTTATTTTACAAATATTTGTTTTCAATGTTTCCAACTGTGTGTTTCTAACTCATAAAATTATAGGAAATTCATGTTCACTAGATTTTATTAGTATTGTATTGGATAATAAGAACGTTAAAAGACCGACCAAATGGAGCAAAGAAGATAAACATGTCTTCATTTTATATTGCACCATTTTAATATCTTTAGAAAAGATTAGTACATTTGAAGTAGGGATGGACGGGATTGAATTTTTAGTTCGGCACGGAATTTTAATTTCCTTCCAGATTTTCGGGGCGGGACGGGATTTTTTCCTGTGCATAAAAAGGGTTTGTTTTTAAAGTCTTGAGTATTGCAGTTAAAAATGACAAACAAAGTCAAATTTTACCGTTTGTGGCAGTGATTTATATAAAAAAAAAAAAAAAAAACAAGGTAAACAATTACAAGGATAGAAACTTGTGTTTAGCATTGGTATGACTCTGCAGTCACGGCGTCGAAATGACTCGCAATCACGGCGTGATCTTCGAAATGACTGGCAGTCAGAGCGCAATGGTCGAAATTACTCGCAGTCATGGGACAGTGGTCGAAATGACTCCATGGTCACAGCGTGATCGTTAGTATGACTCTGCGGTCATGGCGCAGTTGCAAATTGACTCCGCGGTCACGGCGCGATCGCCGAAATGACTCGTGGTCACTTAGGCTACTGCGTTCACGGAACTATCATGAACATCTCTCGCGATAGCGGCGTTATCGTCACTCACGTTGCAGCAAAATTGCCAAAGATCGGATCAAATCCCATCCTGAAAAATTCCCGAATCAAATGTAATCCAATCCCGAAAATCGGGAATATTTTTTCCTTGAAATTTTGGGGTTCATCCATCCCTAATTTCAAGCTAATCAAGTTATCATATTTGCCTTTGATGTATACTACAATTGAATTTACTTTTCTAGTAACAATTGGCTTTAATATTATCAGGACTAAAAAATAAGCCTTGTGATTGTAGAATATTAAAAAGTTCCTATAGAAAATTGAATTGCTCTATTGTTAATATGTATTGTATTGTAACCAATGTGTAATTAAGTGTTTTCATGTCGATACAAGTGAACAAATTATGTTAAGTCACTAAGAATTTAATTTCCATTTTGCAATATTGCTATAGTATTTAAATTAGTCTTCTACTGTCTACGTAAATAAGTTTCTACTGGTTAAACCTTTCTGTTACTTTCTAGTTAACCCGTGTGTGTTTGTGCGTTGGTTAAAAAATGTTTGTGTTCATTAAAATCAAAAGAAGTAAAGTGGAAATTTTTTTCCATTCACGCAAAACTTGGGAACCATTCTGTTTTGGCACTTGCTGCTTCAAAGACTTTTTTTTATCATCTGTTAGGTTTTGCACAACTATATTTGTTTAAACTAAAAGCCATATTGCCAAACAATATTCTAGCCTAGCTAAAAGAGGTGTTTGGCATCATTTTTGTGATGAAATTTAAAACGATTATGATTGTAATATTCCCAGTGATGTTTTATACAGCAAAAGTGTGTGAAGTAAGAAGTAATGAAAGATCGTTGAATTTTTCTTTAGAAAATCCTCAGAATAAGGGGATAATTTGAATAATCGGATTGTATCTCTTGATAGTAAAAGATGTGCTAAACAATTTTGACTAATTGGACATCCGGAAAAATTAAATAAAATTTTTGTTGGTTTTTTGATAAATTGATTTCAATTGAGTTTTTTATGCACGTAATGAATTTAAACTAGGCTCTAGCCTGGGATTTTTTTGTTCTAGCTAGGCCTAGAGATTGTAGCATTATGACCTATTATAAATCCATTGGTGATTGTCGTAATTTGAACCTGGGACCTTTAGGACCAAAGTCCTGGACTCCACCACCAGTCCCAGCTCACTCCCCTTATAACTTTGGTAATAACATGTTAAAAATTAAATTAATCACTGACACTTGATAGATGCTACAAAACACATTTTCACTGTATACAAAATTTTAGTCTGCATTTATCAACCACTAAAAATTCCTAGTGAGCAAGTTTTTCTTAACTGACGCTCTACCTGAAATGTATTTTCAATAAATTTATCATTATTTAAAAATTGCATAAATTAATTAAAACTATTTTTAGCAACTGAAATGAATTATACCAGAATGTAGTTAGCCTATAAGTTTTTTTAAAGGTTTTGTTTAACTTAAGACAACTAATGTAAATAAATTACTACCACAATATATTATTTAGTTTAAGAAATGACTGAAGTATTATTTATTTTAATTCATTGTTAGATTATCAAATACAGTGTGATGAAGTAACTCTTATATGTAGCCGTGCCATCCTTATGATTTTGTGTTTAGCATAATCCTTATCAAATTCACTTTGTTACTTCTTAATAATGCATTGCTATAAAATCAAGCACACGGAAACTACCTACACAAAAATTGAATTGGGTACAGTATTTTGATCTTTAATATTAAAACTACATTACCGTGCCAAAGTTTAAGGTTGAGGTGTATAAAATCCCTCATGTTTTTTCAACCATCTACACACAAAGTGCAGTATTAATAAATGTTCACAGGGCGCACATGCATTGTTTACGATTTATCCCTCTTTATAAAGAAGATTTTGATTAATTTTGAACTTGTTGCATTATGAAATTTTATTTTAATTTAAATTTTGCTATGGACATTTTTGTGATTTATAGGTTTTTAGGTTACAAAGTATCCATGGCTTGTCAGCACGTTTTATGGGAATATTTTTTATTTGTACATACATTTTATACAGTAGCATTTATCATAAAATGGTGTCTATAATAGATGCGACATAGAGTATTTGAAAGAGTAATGTATAGATAATATTGTACAGTAGAGTATATAAATAGAATAGCAAATTTTTTACAACCAAAGAGTCTGTCTTGTGCATTCTTTTAGTTAAGATATTGTAAATAAAAATTATTTCTACGGAATTATATTTTTGTTACTTAATTCCTTTTGGTGTTGTGTTAAAAAAAATGGTTTCTGTGTTGTCATTGGTTTTGAAAGGATAAAAGCAATGTTTTTATCACATACATATTCGTTACAGATATAGCCCTATTAGCCCAACATGCTGTTTAAGTCAGTACAGCTCGTGACACCTAAGCTGGCACTTGGCCTAGCGCGGGCAGTGTAGGCGGGAGGAGGGTGGAGGTAGGGAAAAGACCGGACTGCAAACATTTCCGCTGCCTCACGGGGTAGACTCCCCTTGTATTATGTACTTGAGCGCCTTCATATGGGTCGCGAGGACAGTTGATGCAACCCGCATGACGGACTATAATGTTTTTGAAATAGGTACTAGTAGCGATCGGCCAAGTGCCAGCTTAGATGTCACGAGCTGTACTGACTGTTGAAAATGTGCCCAGTTGATATTAAACTCTTCCTATCTGCCCTGAACACACAACTTATCCCTCATTGCTAACACTTACGCATGACGGAACGTGTCTCCTGACCCTCCGTCTACGTGGACTGGCCAATGGTTTTAGGACTGAGCCAGTCTCAGGTAGTCAGAGGGTTATGAGCCAGGTTCCATCATACAGACTATAGTGAATGGATTATTTAGTGTAAGTTGTCATACAGAATTTTGTTTATTTGCAAAATTTACTTGTTCATATTTTCAACTGGGTAATCGGACACATTTTTTGATTTGGCATAATTTCAAATTATAAATTTGGTCAACCAATTGAAATCCTATGATCCTATTTATGCTGTGGTACCGCACGGGAAGTGTAGGGCACCTTAAACAAATATATCCAGATAAAATCAACTTCTGCAGCTTCTTTTAGAGATCAACTATGGTTTGAAATCGAGAATATAGACTTCCAACTAACCACAGAGAAGTCTTCTTCTCTTTGAACCAACTGTTTCAAATGGTTCAATGTCAATTATACAGTATTAGCATTAGGGTATTTGGGGCCAACAAGAACTAAATAGATTCACTGTAGCTTAACATTGAAAAAGGTGAACCTTGGTTATCAAGTTTCTGAGGGCTTTTTTTGTCTTGTGCGTTTTTTCCAATGTCGTCCAATCCTTCTGTCCTTTGTTTGAAGTTCATTGTTGGTGATGGTGAATTAATGTTTTTGAAGGTTTATTGCAAACATTTTTTATTGAAATGTTGATAGCCTAGTATGAAATAAACAAAATTTACAAATTCGATTAAATTATATTGATAGCAAGCAAACTACAACCGTTTATATTTTCTCCATAAGAATAAGAATTTTAAATTTACAATTTTTGGAGTTATCACTGAAACTCTTAGGCATACAACAATGCTTCAATATACAAAACGTTATTTTTACCCTTTGCGGTCGAGTGGCGAGTATTGGTCGCCGCCCACCATTTTCCCGACTGCTCAAAAATAACAACCAACACAAAAAAAAAAAATCTAAAATTAAAAAAGTTAATTTTGCAGTTGAATGGCGAGTATAAGTTGCTGGGTGTCATTTTCCCCGACTGCTCAAATGACAAACTATACTCGGTGTAAAATGGGAAAAAAATTCGACCTCAAAGGGTTGCTCTACAAAAATAATAGTTTGGAAAGAAATTGTGAAATTTTATATTTTTTTAGAATAAAAAATGGTAAAAACCCCATTTTTACCCTATGAAACCTCCATAAACCCCAGTTCCCACAATCCAATTATGCTGGTTCGTGTAAACTCGAATAAACTTAGGTTTACATATTTCTACAAAATTTCATGAAAATCCCTATCCAACCTATTTATTCATTTTTGCTAGATTCATGCTGGTTCGCTAACTCTTTTGGATGAATGTAGGTTTATACGTTTTCATTAAATTTCATCAAAAATTAGATAATTTTCTATTGCAAATTAAAAATTCCCATGTTATTTGTATGGAGAAAAAATAAACGGTTGTAGTTCGCTTATTTATGGATATATTTTAATCAAATTTGGAAATTTTGTTTATTTTATAATAAGCTATCAACATTTTAATAAAAAACACACCTCAATACCTTCTATGTAGCAGCAAACCTAAGTACTCATTTAAAATCAATGTTATTTTAAATGGAAATAAATTGACAATTTTAAGGGAATATTTTAGTAGAAATCCAGCCAGGTAAATGGAATATAGTCCGCAGGTTTGCTGCGGCGGGCGTATTTTACCATTGGAAATGTTCATATTTTGTGGAGAACACTTATATCTAACATACATACTCGTAAGGCATTGGCAAAAAAAGCTATAATGAAATGCCAGTATCACAACAGACCAAGACCTGATGTCTGTTCAGCATTTATCACTTGTGATCCCTTGGGGCATGGAGAAGGTTGGTTTGGATCAGCTATAATATTATCTGTTAAGTGTAATTAGTAGATAGCAGAAACCAGGAGTCCCACATTGCCCCAGAGTCCCTAGGGAACCTAGACCCTGGATGGCACGGGTCAGAGTCCATCAGACAGCAACATGGTGAGTAGCAGCAAACTAACACTAGTAGGTAGGTAGTTGACATTGAAAGTTTACAAAGGGACCTGACATTTTGATTTCGGGGTGTTTTGTGACAACTAACTAAACTTTTTGGCAAGTACCTCTAGAAGAATAGGTACCTATATAAAGTATTCCTATGAAGTAGATTCTATTAGGTTTTTGAAGTCCTCCTGAAGTTATTGTAGTCCTTTAATTGAGAAAACTTATTCCCTAAGTACACATATAAATTCTTTCCATTCTAATGATAAGGTAGTAATGGTTTAGAAATCATCTACAGGGTGTCACAAAAAAGTGTGATGGGCTATACAGGACCTGATTCTACATGCAAAAATAAGTCAAAAATGAAGAATAAAATTTTTTGGATTTCGGCTTAGTTTAGCCGTAATCCGCCATTTTGTTTTTGTGGAAAATATTTATTATTTCAAAATCCCTTTGAGATATTTTTACGAAACTTGGCAAAATTGTTTACACTATAGTAAGTAATATTTGAATAAGAAGCTGTGTTTATTTTAGTAATTTAGACTGAAATTACTTAATACGTTACATAAACTATTACATTACATTTATTTAATACACTAGCTGGCCCGACAGACGTCGTCCTGTCCTATTGTGGTTTTATGTCACATGCTCGTTCATTTTCATATTCAAGATGAGCTCGTTCGCATGGTTCAATCACGTCCTGGTTGAAGTTCGTTCGCTACGCTCACTCACCTTTAGGTTGGAGCTCGTTCGCTGCGCTCACTTGCCTTCAGGTTAGCTCGTTCGCTACGCTAACTCGCCTCGAGGTTGAAGTTCGTTCGCTACGCTCACTCACCTTTTGGTTGCAAATTAGCTGTTGTCATAAATTTAAAAAAATAATAGTGCTGCACCCTGTTGGTAAACCTATTAACTTTTTAATGCTATTGAACATCACAGAATCAAATTGTTTAGTTGCACCAGCTGTTAAGATTCGTTAATTCCATTTAAATATGAGTACTCATAAGGTTAACATGGGAAACTCCAGAGCCACTGGGGCGGAGCCCTATTGACGGGTCTGCACCAAACTTCACACAAACCATCCTTGAATAATGCTTAATAATGCCTGAAAGTTTCATTACAATCTGTCGAGCGGTTTTCGAGTCCATAAAGGACAAACATACAAATATACAAACATACAAACATACATTGGATTTTATATATATACTAGCTGACCCGGCGAACTTCGTATCGCCTAAGTTATAGGTTTCCCCTAAGACAGACCGATGGAAAGAAAGTACCGTTACGTTTAATTTTCAAGATGATCTCGTTCGCATCGCTCAATCACGTCCTGGTTGAAGTTCGTTCGCTACGCTCACTCACCTTTGGGTTGGAGCTCGTTCGCTACGCTCACTCACCTTTAGGTTGGAGCTCGTTCGCTGCGCTCACTTGCCTTCAGGTTAGCTCGTTCGCTACGCTAACTCGCCTCCAGGTTGAAGTTCGTTCGCTACGCTCTCTCACCTTTGGGTTGGAGCTCGTTCGCTACGCTCACTCACCTTTAGGTTGGAGCTCGTTCGCTGCGCTCACTTGACTTCAGGTTAGCTCGTTCGCTACGCTAACTCGCCTCCAGGTTGAAGTTCGTTCGCTACGCTCACTCACCTTTTGGTTGCAAATTAGCTGTTGTCATAAATGTAAAAGAAATAATAGTGCTGCACCCTGTTGGTAATCCTTGTAACTTTAATGCTATTGAACATCATAGAACAGAACCAACTTGTTTAATTGAAACAGCTGTTAAGATTCATTAATTCCATTTCTCATAAGGTTAACATGGGAAACTCCAGAGCCACTGGGGCGGAGCCCTTTTAAGAATTTCGAAACGGGAAATAGTTTACGTCCGATTCGCATACCTACAGAATTTACACACCAAATTTCATAACGATCGGTGAAGTCGTTCCGGAGGAGTTTGCAGACAAACACTGTGACACGAGAATTTTATATATTAGATATAGATTTTAATATTAATAATTTCAGTCTAAATTACTAAAATAAACACAGCTTCTTTATTTATGAACCGATTTTATTCATTTTTGTTTTGTTGGATTTGTCATGATAAATACTAAAACTTTTGTGTCTTACAAAATTTTGATTTAGGTACCGGTTTTCATGCAATTTGGCATTAAAAAATTCAAACGGCCGCCATTTTGAAATTTGGAAAGTTAAAATAATATTTTTTTTTATAAATGTTACTTACTATAGTGTAAACAATTTTGCCAAGTTTCGTAAAAATATCTCAAAGGGATTTTGAAATAATAAATATTTCCCCCAAAAAACAAAATGGCGGATTACGGCTAAACTAAGCCGAAATAAAAAAAAAATATTCTTCATTTTTGACTTATTTTTGCATGTAGAATTAGGTCCTGTATAGCCCATCACACTTTTTTGTGACACTCTGTATATAATATTAAAACAAAACAGTGTTTTTTATTTCACGATTCTGAATCAACCACTCGACGGATTTTCATGATTTTTGTGTTGAAAGAAAGATAATTTTGAGAACTAGGGAATGTCGAATCCATAAATTTAGTTTAGGGTCCCAGTTTTTTAGAAATTAAGTTTTAATTTTTAAAAAGTCTAGCAGCCGACGCTAAGATTCTAAACTAGCTTTTGGCATAAAATAATTTGCTTAACATAACAGCTGTAAACATTCAGCTTTTGTGTCACAAATTCAGCATTTGGATAAAAATGTAAAGACATAATTCATGGTGGAAGGAAAAAACATGTTTTTTCCTTCCACCATGGACATAATTAGAGTTGACTTATTTATACTATGTGTAATGCAAATCATTGATGCGTTCAATTCTTCTGTAAGAGGACGACAGATTAGATTAATTATACATAGTAAAATACTAGAATGTTCAAATTATTTTTTAAAGCAATCTTTCTAATCTTCGATTTGTTTTAGAGCAATATAATTTGTTTTAACCAACAGCTGGTTAAATATAAACTATGGAACTATGAGGTTATTTTATTTACTCTTATTTTGTCATTGATTATAGGAAATAAGTAAGATTAGTAGAGATAATTAGACCACAGTTTAAAATAGTTTAGACCAAAATTAATTAAACCACAGTACAAATCGAGGTGTACACGAGTCTTGATGAAAAAGGATAAATGCAAATGATTTTACTATTTTTTCGAGGAAAGAATAGAAAAATAACAATGTTTACATGTTTTAATTCTTCATGGTAGCTTTTTGTTTACAATTAATGTTTGTCTGCTTTAACTTTGTTTGGATTAGGCCCGGAAATATTGATGTCATAAAAAGAAGATCAAGAATAATCAGGAATCACGATTTTAAATTACCACCCCAACCTCAGCCGAGTGTTATACAAAGATTGAACACAACGTCAACATTGACCTAGGATACTGCAATTAGACAAACCATCCTTTTATGAAATCGTGTTCAGTGTGGTTACGTTTGGGGGTGCCTATCAGCGCCCCAAACGTGAAAATATCACTTTTATTTCAACTATGAATATATTGTAGTTTAAATTAACTAATATGGGAAATTACGATGTACACTTATTCAATGAGGGTGGGTAATTATTAAGGATAGAACTGATAACGGTATAGATAATAAACATTGACAATTACGTGATTAGCTTTACTAGCGTGTTTACTTTTTATATTCCTGCTACATGTGACCAGTTCTTTTAGTAATCGTGAGTTCTTTTTTTTCAAATGAATGTTATTTGAACCAAACATCTGTTTCAAAACAAACTGTTATTGTTTTTACTTTTCTTTGTTTACACTTATTTATTTAGCAATTAATGCAGTGAAATTGATATAAAGGATAGGTGTGACGATTTATGTGTACTGTGAATTTTATTGGATATTATCGTTTTATTTTAGGTCGTTTTTATTCAGACCTACTGGAAATTGTGTATAGTAGTTGTATTGAGGCAGGTAGTCTATACACTTCTCAATCTCAATTGACTATTACTCTCTCTACTGTAGGCTACTTATAATCAGTGTGCGTCTGTGCGAATCGGCTGCAAATCTCACTTCAACGCTTTTCACATCGTAAAAATTGCAGAATTGCTGTTTTATTGTAAAATTATCGGATTTAAAATGCATATCGTATAGGCCTATGATGGAATAAAAACATATTTGGTCACACAACATTTGTTTACAAGATGATTTTTCACATTGAAACTGCAAGAAACGTTGTCTTTATATGTGTAAACTAGCTGGTCTGAATTGTACACGGTTTTAACTGACTACTGAATTCCCGTACGTAGGACGGGCTAACACCTCGTTTAACATTAAAATTTAATTAAAATTCAAAACTTCATTTGTTTCATGTAAAGCAATACAATAAAATAGCGTCACAGTTCCTTAATCTACCTCAGTACATTGCATTCAATTGTTCAGTTATGAAATTGACAGTTACGTAGCATCAGCATTCACGTAAGTTAAATCGTACAGCTCTTCAAAAGAGTAGGCTAAAATGCATTTCTGATTTAAAAAAAATTTGAGTTCACTTTTGAACTTGTTCAGATTTTTTAAATTCAATATTTATTTTGGAATATGTTTAAAAAATACAGAACTGGCAAATACAGAAATAGGATGGTTTCTTTTTAAATAGCTCAGAATTGTGAAACGGTAAGATTATTTTTTATATTTCTGGTGTTGTAGTTATGTATATCTTCATGTGTTGTAAAATTAGCTTGATATTCTCTGACATACATAATACACTCAAGGATAAACAAACTAAAGACGGTTAATATATTTTGGTTAATAAAATGCTCCTTTACGGATTCATCAAACTCGAGATTTAACATGGCTCTTATAGCTCTTTTTTGACTAATTAAAATTTCACAAAAGTTTTTTTTGGTTGTACCTCCATACACACGTAATTTCGTAATATCCTAATGAATTCAAAATTCAAAATTTACAAATAAACTATTACAAAAAAAAATTTGTTATTGATTGATGATCTATACAAATAAATACAATAATCAATATTATGTTCCAAGAAAGCCAGTACGTCACCGACTGTTTTCTTATCAATACATAAAACATAACATATATATCACTAAAGATACGGGGCTTTAATTAGACTTTTTTGGGGGCCCCATAACTAGCTTAAACATCCTAAGATTTGAATTAATTAGCGTAAATGAAAGCCGTTGGCTTATCGATTTTAATAACTTCACTCTTTCCATCACAGTTATCTGAATTTACGTAAAACCGCAAGAGTAACCGTCGATTTCGACGGGATTCACCGGATTCACCTAGTATAAAGTATTTTCATTTATTAGATAACCCTCTTTATGATAGAAAAAATAATAAAAGTGTTTTTACGCTTTGTTGTGACGTTATCCTCGATCCAACTAAGATAGGTGTATTGGATGCAAAATTTCAATGTCTACAACTTTATAGTGTAGAACATATTTTTTCCTAAATTATTAACCTTAATATTTTTATCTAACTTTAAAACGAAATACTGGCCTTAAAACACACAAAATATATTTAAAATATGATATTTTCTTGTATGGAATTTCACTGTAAGTACCGGTATTTTAGAAGCGTTTGCACTGCTGTAGGTAGCATGGTATTTTCATAAGATAGTTTTAAGTAAAAGCTTACACTGTAAATTACGTTTTCCACCATTTTCCAAGATGGCGGCTATTGCCCAAGGGTACCAAAAGGGTACCCGGTGGTTTTATTGTATACATACCCTAAATAGCTCAAATAAATATTAAACCCACTTTTAAAGTAACACAAGCTTTTTATTTTCTTAATTAAATCAAAACTCAAAATAAATAAATATCAAAATAAAGATATGCATTTTAACATGTGTGGGGGGTAAACTTGCGTAAAAATGTTCAAATGGACTGTATGTTGAAAGAGCAATATTAAAAACTTGTCACTAATTATTTAACAGATAATACTGTAATGAGATTGATGAGGTACCTTCCTTTTAACTGAAGTGTTGAGAAGACGAAGCCGGTAGACGTACACGAGTTTCTTCTGCTGGCCAGCTATTGCGTATTGCTCGTACACAGACCCGGACCGGCAGTAGTAGTTTCACTTCACAAATAATGTTCAATCGTTCACTTTTAATATGTGTCACTAATAATAATTAAATATACTTTGGGGTTAAGAGATGAGAGCAGCAATTGGGAGTTAATTGTGCCGGGGACATGTTAGTAGTTGCATGAATGCAAGAGAACTGGGGCGAGATTGGGGTTTCCAGACATCATGTGACAGGACAAAGGTTATTGTATGATATGAAACGTCTGGAAATATCTAGGTAGCGCTTGAATACGGAACATGCCGCCCGCCTTGAACCATACATGGTTCAAAACATTGAGAAAGTTACAAAGTGACACATAATGCATAAAGATTGACATTGAAATATAAGAAACATAGAATTAATATATATACATAACATTGAAATAGAAATATGTTTGAAAATAGAATAAACATTTTGTTTGGTCTGATAATGAGATCAGGGGAGCGGGTACACCTTGGTAGCAGGACGACAGAAGGTTCCCCGCTGAGTCTTGATGGTGACAACTCGGACGATGCCGTCCGATCCAGGCGAAGTCTTCACTATGCGTCCAAGAGGCCAGAGTAGTGGTGGTGTTCTAGGGTCCTGAATTATAACGAGATCACCCACTTCTAGATTCTTGTTGGGCTTTTCCCATTTCTTTCTTTGTTGTAGCTGATGTAAATATTCTTGATGCCAACGTCGCCAGAAGCGTTGATGTAGGGCTTGTACAGTTTGCCAATGGTTGAGACGATTTTCGGGAACCTCTTCAAGATTTGGTTCCGGTACTGCCACAAGAGAAGTGCCGATAAGAAAATGACCCGGAGTAAGGGCTGAGATGTCAGATGGATCAGCGGATAACGCTGTTAAGGGTCTCGAGTTTAGTACAGCCTCCACCTGTGTGGCGAGTGTTATTAATTCCATTAGTGTTAGAACTCTATCGCCTATGACTCTTTTCAGATGATATTTAGAACTTTTTATAGCACTCTCCCATAGGCCTCCTTGGTGGGGAGCGGCTGGTGGTTGAAAGTGAAAATTTATTGAGTGATCTAACGCGAAGTTGTTAAGAGCATCTTTAGTGTTTGATTCCTTGATGAAATTCTGAAAAGTTTTCATGAGTTGCTTTGAGGCTCCAACATAGTTAGTTCCGCAATCTGAGTATAAGTGGGCACACAATCCACGACGAGAAACAAAACGTTTTAGTGCAGCTATGAAGGAGTCTACAGATAGGTCTGTTACAATTTCTATGTGCACAGCTTTTGTAGCAAAACATACAAAGAGGCAGAGGTATGATTTTAACCGTTGAGCGTTCCTAGTTGAATGAACTTTAATGTCAAAATGTCCACTATAGTCCATACCAGTGTGATAGAATGGCCTTACAGGTTTTAATCGAGTTTCAGGAAGATCTCCCATCAGTGGAGGTTTGTTTACAGGCTTAAGTCTGAAACATCTTTGACACTTGAAAATCACAGATCTTATCACGCTGCGGGCTGATAATATCCAAACCTCTTGAGACAGAATAGACTGCAGCAATTGAGGGCCTGCGTGTAGATGCTTTAGGTGATAATGCATAATCAACAGTTTGACAGTACAGTGAGATTTAGGTAACAAAACTGGATGTTTCGCATCTTGTGTAAGGTTGGAATGTTTCAACCTGCCGCCTACTCGCACTATTCCACTATCATCAATATATGGGGATAAACGAGCAAGTTTTAAGCTGCATTGAGATCCCTTTTTGAGAGCAGAGATGTCATCCTTAAATGATGTATTTTGTATGAGTTTGAAAATTCTTAATTTCGCAGACGAAGTTTCTTGGCAAGTAAGTCGTCCGATGCGGGAATCATTGGCTTGTAGATTATGAATGAATCACAATATATATGCCATGCCATTTACAAGTTTCCTGAAACATGAATATTTTTCCAGTACATCAAAATCAGTGAGTTTAATCTTCTCTGTGGTTGCTAGAACGTTTAGAGGATTTGGCCTTATTTCAAGAGTGTCATCATCAATAACAGGTGTGAATTTTGGCTTAGGCCAAGAATCTGACGATGACTGTAACCATTCCGGTCCATTCCACCATAAATGATGAGTCACAAGTTGAGAGGGTGAAAGACCACGAGTGGCGCAATCTGCCGGGTTGACTTGAGATTTGACATAATTCCATGAGTGAGGAGAGACCAATTCTTGGAGTTCTGAAATACGATTGGCAATGAAGACTTTCAAGCGGTATGGAAGAGTACGTATCCAGGTTAGGACAATTGTGGAGTCACACCAAGCATAGATTGATTCAATCTTCATATGAGCAGAGAGTATGTTTGAAGAATATTGAAGAAGTTTTCCCAGTAAGTGAGCGCCACAAAGTTCAAGCCGTGGCAGAGAAATTCTTTTCAAAGGAGCGACTTTTGATTTAGAGACGATGAGATAGAGCCTTGTATTCTCTTGAGAGTCAGTGACACGAAGGTAGACAACAGCAGCGTAGCCTTTCTCTGAAGCATCGCTGAAGCCGTGGAGTTGCACAGCCGTATGCAGAGAAGTAGAAATGTAGCGTGGAATTCTTAATTCTTGAATTATTGGGAGTTCTTCTAAGAATGAATGCCACTTGGTTCTAACATCATTTTGAACAGGTTCATCCCAAGTTAGCCCTGTTGTCCAGAGATACTGAATAAGTGTTTTTGCCCAGAAAATTACGGGTGTAAGAAATCCTGGTAAATCGTACAGTTTAGCGATTGTAGATAATATTCTTCTCTTTGTAAGTATAGCACTTATTTCAACATCCTTAACCTTGTAAGAAAGCATGTCGGACTCTGGAGTCCATTTTAGACCTAGGACACTGAAGAAGGCTTCACTATTTTCAGTTAACTCCACTGGAGTCTCTTTGTGTTCAATTGGGACTTGGTCCAATAGTTGGGGTGCGTTGCTAATCCATTTTCGGAGTTCAAAACCTCCTCTAGAGAGCAAGTTCTTGAGTTCATTCTGTGCAGACAAAGCTTCATCAAGACTTTCTGCTCCAGCGATGATGTCGTCATAAAATATTGATTTAGTTAGAATCTCAGACGCCTTGGGGTATGAGTGACCCTCATCTTTGACCAATTGTTGTAATGTTCTGATCGCAATGAAGGGGGAACAGTTGAGACCGTAGGTGACGGTATTTAGCTTTAAGACTTGAAGGGATTTCATCATGTGCTCGAGCACGGGAGGCACTGATGAGCTGAACAGCTCTTTCAGATATCAATGTAAGTTGAGATGCAGAGTCGAGCACAGCACGGAGTACAGTTTGCTGACCATCTTTGGAAAACACCTGAACTAAACATGTTCCAAGTAAAATTGTTGTTTTAGTTGGGTTTAACTGGCTAGACAATCCTACAAGAGCACTTTTATTCACTGGTGCGGTGACATGGCTTTGGGGTGCGTTATTTGTAGGTGGCTTACCATATTTTTTTTCAAAAACCTTGGTTGGGTAACTTGGCTGCTGTTGTGTGGGAGTTGAGTCATGTAAGAGAGTGTGATGTCGCTTTGAACAAATTCGACACACTCTATGAGAAGGACAGTTATTAGTATCATGTAGATGGCCTAGGCAGTTGGCGCATAGATTATTTTTACAAGTGAATTCAACTCTATCACCTCTACTTTTAGCCTGAAAGGCTTGACACTTGTATATATTGTGATCGGATGCTTGACAAAACTTACAAGTGTTAGTCACTGTGACGAAAGCTGTTTTAGCTTGAGAGGAGTAAGGTTTACTATCTCGAAGAGGTTTAGGCCTATAACTATTAGATTGAGTCTTTTGCACTGAAGGGTATCTTGCGTTAGCTGAGGGACCAAGACCGATACTAGCTCCTTCTAATCGTTTAAATTCTCTTTCAAGGAATTGAATTAAATCATTTACTGCAGGTATGTCATTGTTTGTGATGCGAGAATCCTCAAAAGATTTTCTTAAATCAGTAGGTAACTTTTTCAAAAGCGTTAGGACAAGCAGAGTATTTTCAGCTGTTATGTCATGGTTGAGATTTTTCAAAACTTGAGTGTTCTCTTTATAAACTGTGAGGAAATGTTGGAGACTTTTGAGAGAACCACTACTTATGCATGGCAAATCAATGATTTTTGTAACAAGCTGAGTTACAACACGCCTTTTGTTATCATAGCGATCCTTAAGCAGCCTAAGTGCAACATCAAAGTTTTCTGCAGTTATGCTTAAGCTCTTTACTAAATCTAAGGGTTCACCACTTAAAGAACTAAGCAGATATTGGAACTTACTCACAGGGGCCAAAGTTTCATTCCTATTAATAGAAGCCTCAAAAATATTGTAGTAGCTAACCCATTCTTCGTAGTTACCGCTGAATTTGGGCAACTCAAATTTGGGCAGCAGAGATGGTTGGGTGGGAGGTGTTACTTCTTTAGTTTTAGCAGGTAACACTATTTTCAAGTCACTGATCAGAGAAATGTACAAGTCCGAAATTTCATCTTGCATAGAGCATGCTTCAGTTTCGTCATAATCAGAACCAGGATCATCATAAACCACTTTATCGAATAAAGCTTTAAAATCAGAGAATAAACCTCTAACTTCATCATCATAGTTGTGTAAGCGCTGAATGGAAACAACATTTAATGATTGAGTTTCTGAGAGAGTAATTTGGGCTGACACAAACTTGCTTATTTTCTGAAGCCTATTTTTGACAAGTTTTGCCTTTTTCTCTAGTGTAGAGAATCTCATTTTAACAGACCATTTATGTAATCAACAGAGTAAGCTATAGGCCTAAGTTTATCATAAGTTTAGGCCTATGTAAATATTCACCAACACCTAAATATCAAAATAACTCCAAGTCTTAGACCTAACAATAATGCAAATTAATAGCTCAGAATAAATCAATTCATTTACATTCACTCTATAAGAAATAATGAATGTAAAATTATATTTCACTTAACCATCAGACCCAGGATAGCTATAGTAAATAAAAGTAAAGTCTATTTAATACAAGTCATTTAATTTGAATCAGTATTTTCGCAGAATATATTGAGTAGGGAAGTATTTATTATGAGCAATATCCTTAATGTAGACAAGAATCGATTCAACCACTAATATTTCGTTTAATATTCACACAAAACAATATTTTCCAAGATGTAAATAAATAAACTTGAAGGTTACGTTTATATTTTGATTCAATTCACACAGCTGTATGTAGCTGGAGTGTGTTTTATATTCAGTCAGCTGATTTCCTGTGCTTGAAACTGAGTTTTACATATGATCAATTTGAAGAAGCAATATCATTGGGCGATTTATTTTGTTTTACGAATCTCGACGCTCGTTGGTTCTTGCGACGTGCAGACTGTAGGCAGAGCGCTCTAGTGGAGAAGTTCGCTACCAAGGTGCATCGCAAGGACAGAAAATATAAAATGGCTGACTTTCTGATAAGTGAAAATATGTTAGAAAATTAAGGACGAAACAAAGTGCAGACAAAAATTATTGTTAATGACAATAATTGATATGGTGAATTGATTGAGAAACTTAGAGAAAATATTAAATATCCTAACTAATTCCTGATTTCAAATAACTATTTGAAAGGAAATATGACGTGATTCATGTAGCAGTGGGAGGACATGAACATGAAACTAACATGAAATATTCACGTCTGAGATGGCACAGGGGAATGGAATAAAATATTATTTATTCACCAAAAATAGTAATGGGGAATACAAATACTGCTCTAATTATTTAGAGAAGTGACACTTTTGAGAGTTTTGTTGTACAATTTTAACAGTTACAGTAGCTAGGCTAATAAAAGCACAATATATTATTAATGATATGATTTTCATCCGGCTCGAAGGACCAGCGGATGGGGGGTAAACTTGCCTAAAAATGTTCAAATGGACTGTATGTTGAAAGAGCAATATTAAAAACTTGTCACTAATTATTTAACAGATAATACTGTAATGAGATTGATGAGGTACCTTCCTTTTAACTGAAGTGTTGAGAAGACGAAGCCGGTAGACGTACACGAGTTTCTTCTGCTGGCCAGCTATTGCGTATTGCTCGTACACAGACCCGGACCGGCAGTAGTAGTTTCACTTCACAAATAATGTTCAATCGTTCACTTTTAATATGTGTCACTAATAATAATTAAATATACTTTGGGGTTAAGAGATGAGAGCAGCAATTGGGAGTTAATTGTGCCGGGGACATGTTAGTAGTTGCATGAATGCAAGAGAACTGGGGCGAGATTGGGGTTTCCAGACATCATGTGACAGGACAAAGGTTATTGTATGATATGAAACGTCTGGAAATATCTAGGTAGCGCTTGAATACGGAACAATGTAACTTGTTTAAATGTACCAACTTTACAAAACAACTTATGAATAACTAACTTTATGAAACAACTTTAAAGGGACATTTTCTAACACCTACCTTTACTCACAACCTACAGCATAGCTTCAATTTAATTGTCTAGGGTCATTAGTTCCAATAATGCACATGTGCCCCTTGAATAAACTGAGCGAACAAAACTATATTTGTATAAAATCTTTAAAAATCACATACAATTCTTGTAGGTGGACATTATAAACGTTTTAAATCAGAGACATTTAAACTACCGGTACTTTAACTTGTACAGTCCTGCCTAGATCCTTATTGTATCCTGTCTAGATTTAATAAAAAAAACTCTGATTGGATCAGATTTCCCCATCAGCAAAGGTCAGAAGTGAAAAATGTTTGGGAATCCAATTTAGATTGGAATACCAATAAGGGAAGCGGAAGCAATCTTTCTCATGATAAGGTGCGTGGAGAGGCTAAAGTAAATCTGTTTTGGTAAGTTTTAGGAAACTGATGAATAATGTAAGTTGCGATGTGTCTTGGTTCGTAACAAACTGTGTTATACTTTAATAATCCCACGACACTGCAGAGAGGGCTAATCCTGATTAGTATTTATGAAAGCAATGCATTATGCAATAAGACCAGCTTCTGAATTGTCACAGGAAAAAAAGTTGATTTGCAACTATAATGAACAAACTTTCTTATACCATTTCAATTTAAAATATTATTTATTAAATTATTCCTCCTCCAAAATACAAAGTTTTCTGACCCAGAGAACAATTTATTGTTTGTGTTTTTTTACAAATAATGTTACCAACTAACTCTATCCTCTTCTTGTCAGGATTTATAATTTAATACAGAAATTCTTTTTATGAATGATTTATAAAACACACTTAAACAAAGAAGAATGAATATAAAAAAAAAATTTAAATGTTTTATAAGCAGCCACAGGTAGTGAAAGAGTAATAAATAATTAGGTATGAACCTTGAATTATTCTGTAAAATTAAAGGTACAGTACCGGTACCTATTTTAAAACTTTTAAGTGATAAAAGTTGTAAAACGATGAGAAGACAGAAATAAAATAGACGTGATGTAAGTTTATAATTGATTGGTCATTCAACCTTATAACAACTTAAATTAGTTAAATCGGCCAAATTTAACATGAGCAGCACTCGCCCCTAAGTTAGTACTTCCCGCTATCGTGGTGAAATCGTTAACATCTCCTAATATCATGGTTACATCATCATTCCCCATTGCGGCTGCAATCGTGGCAAGTTATTGATTTTGAAAAATTCCATTCCATTTTGTTCTAAAAAAAAAAAAAAATAAAAAAAATGTTTTTGTACAAAACGCTGCGGCCTCATTTTGCTTGCGGTCCTAGACAACGGCCTAGTGGTAAATCCGGCACTGGTTAGGCCTATCTAATATCTTCGCCTTAACACACTCTTAATTATCTATTATCTTAATATGTTTTATATCTTTAAAAGATGCAACTAATAGAAGAACTCTCGCTTGGTCCTGAGCTCACTCTCTCGCTACCGAGCTGCGGAAAGCTCGACGAGGAGCTTGAGGAGCTGCTGACTCAGAGTGTGGAGCAGACAATGAGCTCGCTTACACTCGACTGTCAATGCCTTCCTGAGGTTACACCCTTCTGTACAGACCACTGCCACAGGTAGTTTGAGCATCCGCAAGATTATACCAGCTCTAAGTAGATTAAAACTATTCCTATTCATGGTGGAAGGAAAAAACACAATGATTCCTATTAGTAAAAAAAAATACACAAACAACTTTTATGTTTTACGAAAATATAATCATTTTCCAACAAACTAAAAAATAAGAATTTTATATTAATAATGATTTTTTGTGCGCATTTTTCAGACATTGAATTTGTATTTTCAATTTTACAGTAGAACCCCTGTTAACCGAATTCAGGTTAAACGAAACAAAGGGTTGACCAAAATGGTTCCATAGCATACAGGGCTGTAAAATGCTTTATTAACTTAAGTCGTTTAGTTTAAATAATTTTTTAGCCCATTGTAAGTTGTTACATTTTTGTAGCTGAAATAAAACACTGAATTATATAGACATTGTCTTAAATTAATCTTTTCTACACACTGTGGGAATACGTTGGTTATTTTTAGCATATGATGGGTTAACCGAAAAATTGGTTATTCGAAATGGCTCCCTCCCCCCTTTATTTGGGTTAACTGGGGTTCTACTGTAATAGTTTAGTGTTGAACCTTAATTACTATACCATACTCTTATGTTTGTGTTATTTTAACTCATCTTACGTGTAAGATCACTTTCTACAATACACAAACAAATTTCAGTTGAAGTAAGTGTGATAATTAGTGAATAATATTGGAAATTATCATGATTTAGATTATTAATCAAAGGAGAAGTTTTGGACCAAACGTGATATCAGCGACTTAAGAAAAAATTATTTTACACCTTTTGGGTTATATGGAACTTATGAAAGTTGTTCAATTTTTCATCTAAAATGTAGCAGATTTTTAAGTTGAATAAAACCATTTAACATTTCTTTTCATAACACTAAGTCAAATGGGGGTTTTACTGGGGTATTTAGCGTTTGACTCTATAATTAAGTTCTTAACCATAATATTTTGTTATAGAGTCTTGCAAGAAAGTTCAGAACGTCTGCAGTACCAGCCACCACTACCAGTGCTTGACGTAGAGAGCTTTTGTCACTCTTCTTTACAACATCCAGCTGTGCACCTACAAATTGATCACTACGGAGAAGAAAAAGTTAGTAAGCATATGTTTGAAAAACAATGCAATCAAGCTTCGTTTAATTTCTCAGTTTAATCACAGACAAGAGAATCCCTTGGATGTGGGTTAACTGAAAAATTAAGTGTTATTATTATCTAAGAGATTTCTATTACAACATTAGTAAAATACAACATTTTTTCAAAGATCACAGATCAGATTCCTAGTAAATCATAGTGGAAACTTGATTTCTTACTAACCGTAATATATAAGGTCAACAATAATATCTTAAATAATATAAACTCATGACTCGTGATCTTTAAACAATATACTGTAGAAAATTACATTGTTTTACTTAACAACAAAACGACAGAGAAAGAGGGACCAGAGAAATTGTTCTAATAACGTTACTGTAATGCAAATCCCAACAAAGTTGAAACTTGAACTGGTAGTTGTGCCAAGAAAAAAATTTTGTATAGTACACAACCATAGATAAAACATACTTCCTTAGTAGATTTCTTATACTTATGGATCAGCTGAAGACAATTTTACTGTTAGTTCCGTCCGGTGCATTCTGTAGAGGTTGTGTCTAATGGTCTAATGGTATTGTCGCGGCGTATAATGGTACACCAATGTTATGGCATAATAAAAACAACACTTTTATGTATTTTAAATAAGA